TGAACTAGAACTGAACTAGAACTGAACTAGAACTGAACTAGAACTGAACTAGAACTGAACTAGAACTGAACTAGAACTGAACTAGAACTGAACTAGAACTGAACTAGAACTGAACTAGAACTGAACTAGAACTGAACTAGAACTGAACTAGAACTGAACTAGAACTGAACTAGAACTGAACAAGAACTGAACTAGAACTGAACTAGAACTGAACTAGAACTGAACTAGAACTGAACTAGAACTGAACTAGAACTGAACTAGAACTGAACTAGAACTGAACTAGAACTGAACTAGAACTGAACTAGAACTGAACTAGAACTGAACTAGAACTGAACTAGAACTGAACTAGAACTGAACTAGAACTGAACTAGAACTGAACTAGAACTGAACTAGAACTGAACTAGAACTGACTAGACTGAACTAGAACTGAACTAGAACTTAACTAGAAGCTGAACTAGAACTGACTAGAACTGAACTAGAACTGAACTAGAACTGAACTAGAACTGAACTGGAACTAGAACTGAATACTAGAACTGAACTAGAACTGAACTAGAACTGACTAGAACTGAACTAGAACTGAACTAGAACTGAACTAGAACTGAACTAGAACTGAACTAGAACTGAACTAGAACTGAACTAGAACTGAAACTAGAACTGAACTGAACTGAACTAGAACTGAACTTAGAACTGAACTAGAACTGAACTAGAACTTAACTAGAACTGAACTAGAACTAGAACTAGAAGTGAACTCAGTTGCAAGTACAAAAAATAATGATTTTGTTTCTCTTATCTAAATTATTATTTCCAATTTAATTTTAATTCCACGTTATTTGTTCTCGAAAAAAAAGCTAATTATCTAATTATATCTAAAATATCTACTCCTTCTCTCCAAAACCTCAACCTCATTGCATATGCTTTAAAAGCAGTGAGAGTGAGTATTACACATAATATCATTACAGTGTTTTTTCCGCTAAGTGCTTCTTTAGCTTCTAATTTTAAACATCTTTTGCCACGCACTCCCACACATACTCGCAAATATTGTAATTATTAATGGAAGTGTGTGTAAGTGAGTGCAAATACATGTAGTCAGTCATTGCACATACTTGCGTATATATCTTTGTGTAATAGAGTTTGACAAAAACCACACCTTATTTAATAAGTATAATAAGTTACAGAATGAAAAAAAATCAACCAACATCAATAGCAGCAACAAGAAGAATGTCAATAAAATCAACCTGTTTCAATAAACTCATCAACCACAAGTGACAAAATACTGACTGAGTCTTACACGCTAAGAAAATCATACAAAAAATTTACCCTTTATAAGTTATAAGAGTATGTATACATATGTATGTAGTTGTAGGTGTGCGTGCGGATGTGACAGTATTCATCACTATTATAGTCATCGTGGAATTTTCATCATCATCTTTCAGCATCATCATTTCAATGAATACATCTCTCCGCTCTCTATTACCTGTCATTATTATAAATTTGTGCGGTTTAAAAAGAAAATTTCACCTTTTTGTTCGAAATAAAAGAAAATCACCGAAATACTCGTACACATACAAATCTAGTAACATGAAATTCAATGCCATTATCAAATTGTTAGGAGAAATTGTAAAGGAGTTTATTCTTTTGTTTGGTTATTTTATTTTTAAAATTATGTAAGAATTTCGAATGTTATTTTTCCAACATTTATACAGCGATAGATCTTTCTCAGAATCGGATTTAGCAAGAAAATTATAGCATTAATGTCCCGATAAGGAGTCTCTCCCATACTTGGCACAATTTATAATTTCTTGTGAAAGGAAGAATCTGTATTCTACCGAATTTTTGGCATGTCCAGACAACTTATCAAAACATTCTTATCTAAGTTAAATAATACTGTAACAGAAAGTTTCTATCAAAAGAAATTGAAATAGAAAATTTTCAATAAATATTTTTCTATAGAAAGTTTCCAATAAATTTTCTTTCTATAGAAAGTTTTTAAGAAATTTTCTTTCTATAGAAAATTTTTGATAAATTTTCTTCCTATAGAAAATTTTCATTAAATTTTCTTCCTATAGAAAATTTTCATTAAATTTTCTTCCTATAGAAAATTTTCATCTTATAGAAATTTTCATTAAATTTTCTTCCTATAGAAAATTTTCATTAAATTTTCTTCCTATAGAAAATTTTCAATAAATTTTCTTTCTATAGAAAATTTTCAATACATTTTCTTTCTATAGAAAATTTTCAATATATTTTCTTTCTATAGAAAATTTTCAATAAATTTTCTTTCTATAGAAAATTTTCAATACATTTTCTTTCTATAGAAAATTTTCAATACATTTTCTTTCTATAGAAAATTTTCAATACATTTTCTTTCTATAGAAAATTTTCAATAAATTTTCTTTCTATAGAAAATTTTCTTTCTATAGAAAATTTTCAATAAATTTTCTTTCTTTAGAAAATTTTCAATAAAAGAAAATTGAAATAGAAAATTTTCAGTAAATATTTTTCTATAGAAAATTTTCAATAAATTTTCTTTCTATAGAAAGTTTTTAAGAAATTTTCTTTCTATAGAAAATTATTGATAAATTTTCTTTCTATAGAAAGTTTCAATAAATTTTCTTTCTTTAGAAAATTTTCAATAAATTTTCTTTCTATAGAAAATTTTCAATAAATTTTATTTTTATAGAAAATTTTCAATAAATTTTCTTTCTATAGAAAATTTTCAATAAATTTTCTTTCTATAGAAAATTTTCAATAAATTTTCTTTCTATAGAAAATTTTCAGTAAATTTTCTTTCTATTAAAAATTTTCAATAAAATTTCTTTCTATAGAAAATTTTCAATAAATTTTCTTTCTATAGAAAATTTTCAAGAAATTTTCTTTCTATATAAAATTTTCAAGAAATTTTTTTTCTATAGAAAATTTTTAATATATTTTCTTTCTATAGAAAATTTTCAATAAATTTTCTTTCTATAGAAAATTTTTAATAAATTTTCTTTCTATAGAAAATTTTTAATAAATTTTCTTTCTATAGAAAATTTTTAATAAATTTTCTTTCTATAGAAAATTTTCAATAAATTTTCTTTCTATAGAAAATTTTTAATAAATTTTCTTTCTATAGAAAATTTTTAATAAATTTTCTTTCTATAGAAAATTTTTAATAAATTTTCTTTCTATAGAAAATTTTTAATAAATTTTCTTTCTATAGAAATTTTTCAATTAATTTTCTTTTTATAGAAAATTTTCAATTAATTTTCTTTTTATAGAAAATTTTCAATTAATTTTCTTTTTATAGAAAATTTTCAATTAATTTTCTTTTTATAGAAAATTTTCAATTAATTTTCTTTTTATAGAAAATTTTCAATAAAATTTCATTTTATAGAAAATTTTCAATAAATTTTATTTCTATAGAAAATTTTTAATAAATTTTCTTTCTATAGAAAATTTTTAATAAATTTTCTTTCTATAGAAAATTTTCAATAAATTTTCTTTCTATAGAAAATTTTCAATAAATTTTGTTTGTATAGAACATTTTTAATAAATTTTGTTTGTATAGAAAATTTTTAATAAATTTTCTTTCTATAGAAAATTTTTGAAATATTTTCTTTCTTTAGAAAATTTTTAATTTCTATAGAAAATTTTCAATAATTTTTTTTTCAATAGAAAATTTTCTTTCAACAGAAAATTTTCAATAAATTCTCATTCTATAGAAAAACTTCAATAAATTTTCTTTCTATTGAAAAATTATCAATACATTTTCTTGCTTCGTTTAGGGGAAACTCTTTGCCATGATGCATGGTGTGCAGGAAATTGTGACCAGGTTCTATTTGAGGGGACACCATCATTATTTGTAAATTCTTTCTCTGAGATAATACTAGTCTGATTCTGATTAAGGAAAGTAAAAAGCCCCTTTTTAGTGTAAAAATTAAAAAATCTGAGATAAATAGAAGAGGTTGACGAGAAACCAAAGTTAAACTTTAGAATTCACAAACTGATTGAATTCCTTTAAATATCTATCAAACTCATGTGTTTAACTAAAGATTCGTCTTATAACCTTAATTTTCATGCACTCTATTTCATTATATGCCAACCAACATCTAAACAATTTGCATATACGTATTATTTTCTATACATACGACTGTGTTTAATATCGTGGGTTTTAAAAAGTGTGTGATTTTTTTTTCTTGCCTTTTACCAAATTTATCGGTTGCCTACATTCATTAAATTGATTTGAAAGTACTTACATACGTTTGGTGAGTGTGTGTATCTGTGTCTGTTGCATGAGTTGTGGCATTTTCAATATTATTGCCACTTATATTACCAACTTTTTTTTCACGTTTACTTTCCTCTGCTCTTATTTACAAACATACGCGGGTACACAAGATTTGTAAATATAGGAACATAGAAGTAGTACTACTACATAGTCTCGTATAAGTGTCTTTATGTGTGCGAGGGTTTTTATTTCACTTATGTCATGTGCATGCAATATACGTTCACGCGAATGCCTGGCAAGAGCTAGAGGCAGTTGGGGAAAAGGGAATGGATGTTGCTTTGGAAATTAAAGACTTATAATGATTAGATGGGAAAACATGTTTATTTAAGATTGAGAGTATTTGTATATGGTTTAAAACACAACGATTGAATAAATGAACGATTGTTTCATTCATTCAATTTGATTTTTAAATAAAGAAAATTAAATGAATATAATCCATTAAAATATTTTACTATATATTGCTGATAGAAGTTGATTGATTTTTGTTTTTGCTTATATTTTGAATTCAAAGATCTTATTTATTGATAAATGGCTTAAATATTGAAGGCAATTGATTTGTTAAGGTTTTATAACAGAAGACAATTCTTGCTCTGCATAGTATGTGCCACCCCTAATTGGTTCAATTATGTTTTATGTCTCTTAGAAGTTGACTGACTTTTTATGATCCACCCTTAAACCTTAATTTCAAAATTATGTTAAGTGAAGCGAGTTAAATAAAATTTCACTTTCTTTGGCATTTTTGTCATTATATTTTTCTTTTCTACTTTATTCTTTATAAGATTCATTTAATTAAACTTTTTACCATCGTTTTGTTATTTTATAACTCCTTTATATCCAAGTAAATGCCACCATCTAAGCCACTCATAAAGGAATCAGCAGACTGATAATTATCCTGACGCGTTCTTTCATTAACCGTTAATTCAAAATGTTTAATTACCTCCACAATGGCTGCTTTGGCTTGGGTTAAAGCAAACTTCATACCTGCAATCAAAAATACTTAGTAAAAAGCTAACAAGAATAAAACGAAAAAAATATATATTAATTACAATCCACAAACCCTCTAACAAACTTTACACAACAAACACAAAATGTTGCAAACATTAAATTACATGTGAGCAATGGCTAGATGCAATACAAACCTAAACATATCCTTGGACCATCGCCAAATGGCAAATATACACCCATGTCTTTGTACTTCTTGGTGCCACCATTCTCTTCGGCAAAACGTTCTGGCCTAAACTCCTCCGGTTGGGGGAAAAACTCTTCGTCATGATGCATAGAGTGCAGGGAAATGAGACAAATATCTCCAGGTTGTATTTGAAGGGAAACACCATCATTGTTGCTAAATTCACAAGGTTGTGTGCAGACTTTGGCCATAAAAGGTAAAGGAGTAAATATACGTAAAGTTTCTAGAAAAGTATGAGATTTTGACAACAGACCAGACCAAAGAACCAAAAAGAAATTTAATCACAAAAAATTATTTAGGCAAAATGAAATTGAAATCTCTCACCTGCTACACATTGTTCCAAATAGGGAAGCTTTATTAAATCATCAAAATTTAAGGTGGAGTTAACGGTAAGGTGTTGTTGTATTTCCTGCCTTAACTTTTGCTGGGCTAAAGGATAACGCGCCAGCTATGAAAAATTTTAATTAAAATCTCATACAATATCTTATGAAATTACTTACCAACAATAAACAATGGCTGATCAAAGTAGCAGATGTTTCGAAACCATCAAAGAGAAATGTCAAATTATGGGCCGTTAGTTGTATATCGGAAATATTCTTTTTCTGTTTTAACTCCACCATATATTGTAGAAAATCTTGTCTAGTGTTATTTTCTTGAACCTGTCTTAGCTCCACAGCAGACCGTGATAGTTTCGTAAAGAAACGATCTGTTATTTCGGGAAAAAAGCGCACATAGTAAAATCGCCGTATAATGGGAAATATTCTAGCTATGAAATAGTAATTAAAGGCATGGAAATTTTGAGCGATCATTGTTTTAGACATGTTAAATATAGAGGATTTCTCTTGAGAGACATCTTTAGTGGTGGATAGATTTTCAGCGTCTATACCCCATATCACATCGGCCACCACATCGCCAGTATATTTTAGGGCCACCTGTAATGAAATTAAATGATCTAATATTTATTCAACATTATTTTAGATATCTTTGTACTGTTTGATTTAATTTTTATACAAAATCTCTTACCTCCTTAGCATTTAAGGTCTTGGTACCATTTTTTATTTCATTTTTCAAATATTCTCTAAATTTTGTACAGACATTGTCAATAATCGGGAACATGCCTTTTATCTGTAGCAATGAAATTAATGCAAAATTAATTATTCTGAAAATAATATAAAAGAAACTCACCTTAGATGAGGTAACTCCTGGTACTATTTCTGCTCTTTTTACCTTCCATTCATCAAAGGGTAAAACAAAGGGATTACTGCCAGATATTGGTTCTCTAACACGATCTGTCTATAGTTTCAAAAATTCTTATAACAATAATGTGCAGGATTTATAATTACATTACTTACCCTTATAGAAGATTCATTTTCTTGAAAACATTTAAAATTTGTTATCAAAATTTCTTTACACAATTCAGGATCTAAGATCATTAACTGGGGACTTCTGGTCATAAAAACACCCACAAAATTGGCTTTGTTTTTGAATTGTCTAAAAGGAAATGAAATTGTTGAATTTTTTAAAATTAGAAATTTGTTTACTTTTTCCCTAACTTACCTATAAATCTCATCTAAATCATATATGAAATTCCTTTTGCCATCTATGGTACCTGGAAAAGTACCATACAGTGCTCTTGGCTTGGGTCCTGGTATTTTTCTTTTTATCCAATAATCAAAATGCCATGTTAAATAGACATAGAGTCCTAAAAGTACGCTTAGGATTATACTGATTATAATAAAAATAAAATATAATAAATTAAACATTTCACGCAAGTTATGCTTCACTTAAAGTCTGAAACTGCACTGTTATTGAAAATCTGTTGCAAAAAGTACGTCTGTATGTTGTGGGGCCACTATCTTGAATTTGTCTTATCAGCATAGAGAGACTAGTGAACTCTTCATTTTATTATTAAAATGCAAAAATTTATTCTTTCTATTTTTGCACATAAATATTAAAATTCTATAGATAAAAAAGAGAATTTTTAAATATAGAGAGTTTATAGTTTAAACTTTGAAGAGATCTGAACAGTAAGAGCGTTTCAACAAAATACGGCACTGTGTCAGAACTTAAGAGAAAATTTAAGATTACATTTGTGATACCCGTAATCAGTATTGCCAATATTTTTCCACCATTTCTTGTTAAACCATGTCAAACAAACGCCAGAAACTGTCAGATTTAGGTTTTTGCAAAAGCCGATAGAAAACGTCAAATTTAAACTGGATATTTTACCAGAATTTTTTATTCGACTTTAGATTTGATTATAGACCGGACCATACATTAGACTTTAAACTAAACTAAAGACCACATTATAGACTAAACTATAGACTAGACTATTGACTAGATTATAGACTAGACTATAGACTAGACTATAGACTAGACTATAGACTAGACTATAGATTAGACTATAGATTAGACTATATATTAGACTATAGTCTAGACTATAGACTAGACTAGACTAGACTAGACTAGACTATTGACTAGACTATAGACTAGACTATAGACTAGACTAGACTAGACTAGACTATAGACTAGACTATAGACTAGACTATAGACTAGACTATAGACTAGACTATAGACTAGACTATAGACTAGACTATAGACTAGACTATAGACTAGACTATAGACTAGACTATAAACTAGACTATAGACTAGACTATAGACTAGACTATAGACTAGACTATAGACTAGACTATAGACTAGACTATTGACTAGACTATAGACTAGACTATAGACTAGACTATAGACTAGACTATAGACTAGACTATAGACTAGACTATAGACTAGACTATTGACTAGACTATAGACTAGACTATAGACTAGACTATAGACTAGACTATAGACTATAGGCTAGACTATAGACTAGACTATAGACTAGACTATAGACTAGACTATAGACTAGACTATAGACTAGACATAGACTAGACTATAGACTAGACTATAGACTAGACTATAGACTAGACTATAGACTAGACTATAGACTAGACTATAGACTAGACTATAGACTAGACTATAGACTAGACTATAGACTAGACTATAGACTAGACTATAGACTAGACTATAGACTAGACTATAGACTAGACTATAGACTAGACTATAGACTAGACTATAGACTAGACTATAGACTAGACTATAGACTAGACTATAGACTAGACTATAGACTAGACTATAGACTAGACTATAGACTAGACTATAGACTAGACTATAGACTAGACTATAGACTAGACTATAGACTAGACTATAGACTAGACTATAGACTAGACTATAGACTAGACATAGACTAGACTATAGACTAGACTATAGACTAGACTATAGACTAGACTATAGACTAGACTATAGACTAGACTATAGACTAGACTATAGACTAGACTATAGACTAGACTATAGACTAGACTATAGACTAGACTATAGACACTATAGACTAGACTATAGACTAGACTATAGACTAGACTATAGACTAGACTATAGACTAGACTATAGACTAGACTATAGACTAGACTATAGACTAGACTATAGACTAGACTATAGACTAGACTATAGACTAGACTATAGACTAGACTATAGACTAGACTATAGACTAGACTATAGACTAGACTATAGACTAGACTATAGACTAGACTATAGACTAGACTATAGACTAGACTATAGACTATAGACTAGACTATAGACTAGACTATAGACTAGACTATAGACTAGACTATAGACTAGACCATAGACTAGACTATAGACTAGACTATGGACTAGACTATAGACTAGACTATAGACTAGACATAGACTAGACTATAGACTAGACTATGGACTAGACTATAGACTAGACTATGGACTAGACTAGACTATGGACTAGACTATAGACTAGACTATGGACTAGACTATAGACTAGACTATGGACTAGACTATAGACTGGACTATGGACTAGACTATAGACTAGACTATGACTAGACTACAGACTAGATCATAGAATAGACTATAAACTAAACTATAGAGTAGACTATTCGGGAAAAACGTCAAATTGGCAACACTGCCTCTAATCAATATTTAAATTTTGACGTTTTTGAAAGGGCAATTGCGGGAAAAAAGTGGAACTATTTTAATTAATATAAGATTCTTTTATTAGCAATAAAATATTTTTATTTCATTTTACATATTAAATTTTTGCTATAAAATATACATTTTTAAATACTAATTTCTGACAATTACGAAAAAGGCTTAATTAATTTTAATACTAATAATAAATACCATTACAACTGGTATTCTAATTATATACGACCCTTACAAAGCCTTTATATCTAGAAATATGCCACCATCTAAACCAATGATAAAACCATCTGCAGCCTGATAATTATCCTTGCGTGTTCTTTCATTAACCGTTAATTCAAAATGTTTAATTACCTGGGCAACTGCGGCTTTTGCCTGAGACAAGCCAAATTTCATACCTGCAAATTACAAGCAAACCAAAAGAAAAATACAAAGTTTTAATTTACATATAGTGCAGTTAGAACAACTCTCTTACGAACCTATACATATTCTTGGACCATCACCAAATGGTAAATAGACACCCATATCTTTGTACTTTTTGGTGCCACCATTTTCCTCATCAAAACGTTCTGGCACAAACACTTCCGGCTGTGGATAATACTCTTCATCATGATGCAACGAGTGCAAGGGTATGAGACAAACATCTCCAGGTTGTAATTGCAGGGAAACTCCATCATTGTTAAGCAGCTCACAAGGTTGGGTGCAGACTTTTGCCATATATGGTAAAGGAGTAAAAATGCGCAAAGTTTCTAAAATGCAACACACAAAGTAAATACCACCGGAAGATATACATTTTATATTTTTACTTTCTTTTCGCTTTTGTAAGAAGATAAATGCAGCTTGATTTATGTTTGAAATATTTGAAAAAAGCTTACCTGCTAGACATTGTTCCAAATAGGGTAGTTTAACTAACTCATCAAAATCGAAAGTATTTGCATGAGCCTCAAAATGTTGCTGTATTTCCAAACGTAGTTTTTCTTGTTTTTCAGGATAACGTGCCAACTGTAATTGCAAGAATATTTAAACAAAATTTTTACTTTTCATTTATCCACCACCCACCAGCAATAGACAATGACTGATTAAAGTAGCCGAGGTTTCGAAACCATCAAATAATAGTGTCAACTGATGAGCCACAATTTCTGTTTCACTTATGCCCTTCTTTTGTTGCAACTCCATCATGTGCTGCAGAAAATCTTGCCTATTATTATTGGCATTTGATTTTCTTATTTGTAAAGCTGATTTGGTTAATTGCAAAAAGAAACGATCGGTAATTTCGGGGAAAAATCGTACATAGACTAAATAACGCACTATGGGAAATATACCGGCAATGAAAAAGTATTTAAAAGCATTGAAAGTTTGCGCTATTAACTGTTTGGACATGCTTAAAAAGGGCGTGTCCTCCTTAGCGAGATTAGCATTATCTATAACAAAATTACCAGCCTCTATGCCCCAACCAACATCAGCCACTACCTCGCCGGTAAAGTGTAAAGCGATCTGTAAGAAAGGCATTTTAATAATCTCAAGTGTTTGTTAATACAATTTTTTGCATCCATTTTCTTACATCTTTAGCATCAATAGTTGTTTGTCCAGTTTCTACTATATGTTTCAGATATCTGTTCATTTTCTTGCATATGGCCTCAACTATTGAAAACATGCCTTTTACTCGAGACATTGTCATAGCTGGCACAATTTCGGCTCGTTTTATTTTCCAATCAGCTGCTGGTAAAGCAAAGGGATTACTGCCCGAAATGGGTTCTTTTTTGCGATTCATCTGGAAGAAAAATAGAATTTTAATATATATTTTTTTGTGGTCTTTTCTATTTCCACAACTTTTTGTTAATAAATAAGTAGGAGTTTTGAATTGGTTTGTAGGTGGTGAATTTAATGTCATGCAACAAGGACTCGGTTCCACGTTCGGAAATTGAAAATCAAAGCCGATATTGACTTTGGACTATGATTTCACTAAGTCCCTCTTAGAGTTGGTCTTGAACGCCTTGATTATGAAGCAAAATCTATAAAAATTGTATTACCTTTTAGGCTGAACCATATTTTATGAGAGTAGGACTATATTTGACCTATATAAAGCCTTATTCAGAAATTCAGTTTATCATAAAAAACTAAACAACTTGAATATATCAGTATTGCGTAAAAGTCATTCTTATACGATTTATCATAAGAAATTAATTATGCTATTAAACGCAGTAGAGTCTGACCGATAATTCATATTCCTATATAAAAAGGTCCTTTCCCAAAAATCTGTCTTACCGCCATGGAATTCCGTGAAATAATCCATTTAGGTAATCCAAAAACTACTCGCCTTTAAACATTATTGGAATACATAATCCGTTTAGTAGTCCTAATGCAGGCATGGATCATGTTTATTATTTTTGAAAACAACATGGTCCACATTACACTAGGATCATGATGTGGATCATGTACTCCCATAATTTATGCAAGGGACTAGTTTTGGGATTATTCCGATGTAATGCTTTCATGGACTACGTGGTCCTCACCTAGGACATAACAATGTTAAATGGAGTATGTTTTTTCCATGTATTTGGATTCGTTTTGGACCAGTCCTAGACCTTTGAGGTGTACTCTTTACACGCGTTTGCGGAGTAGTCTAAATTTTTGCAGGGTATTTGTCCCTAGGCCCCGTATAAAGCCCCCAAGAGTTTAGTTTTTGTTACTAAACTACTTGAATATATTAGTGTTGTGATAAAATCCGGCATAAACGATTTGTCATAAAAGATAAATTACTTTATCAAACTTTTCACAAAGACTCCATAGAGAACCTTTCCCAAAAACGTATGTTACTGTCAATTTTGTAAATAAAAAAACGATAATCTGAATATTAAATTAAATCAGAATCAGGTAAGTTCATATTAGACCCCCTAGACCCCATACATTCTATCGAAATATGTAGTATTTGGATCATAATTAACCAAAGACCCCATAGAGGACGTCTTTCAAAATTCATCTCATCATCATGGATTTCGTTATATTGAATTTGTAGCAAAATTTAATATAAATAAATTTTTATAAATTAAAAAATCTGTATATCAAATTACGTGATAATTGACTATAAATATGTAGATCTGAGTCCCTATATAGAATGGCCTACTTAAAGCTGGTCCTGGTCTTATATTTTAAATTTATACTTACCCATTGAGATGATTCATTATCTTGAAAACTTTTAAAATTTGTAATCAAAATATCTTTACATATTTCCGGATCCAATATCATTATCTGGGGATTTCGGGTAACAAATACGCCCACAAATTTGGCCTTATTTTTAAATTGTCTGAAAAAGAATGAAAAATGATAAATACTTGAGTATGGTGCAGGGAAATTGGTAAAAAGGGTTCAACTTTATTTTATGTCAATTTAAGATCAGCATTTTATTCGTACAAAGTGATTAATTCTCCGTCTTCCGGGACACCAGTTCTGTGTCAATACTTTTTTTTCCAAAGATCAAACAATTCCTTAATAAAATTTGTCAACAACTCACCTATAAACTTCATCCAAATCGTAAATAAAATTTCTTTTAGCATTAACCATACCCGGAAAAGTACCAAACAAGGGCAAAGGTTTAGGTCCCGGTATTTTACGTTTAATCCAATGATCAAAATGCCAAGTCAAATATACATAGAGACTTAAAATTACGCTTACAAATAAAATTAAAATATATAACAATAATTGATACATTTTGAAAAGAAATATCTTGTAATATATTCAAACTAATAATGTTTCTTGCTAGAGACGCCAAATAAAACTGCGTGCAATTTTATTAAAAAATTGCACTTTTATATTAAAAAAAAAAATTATATACTAAAAGTCTTAGCTCAGTTCTACGGTCATCATTGCAACGAATCTTATCAGTGTCTAGTAAATTTGTATTGAGTATTTTGTATTTTAAATTATTAATTAAAAACAAATTGTTTATAAGTAATTATTTATAGATTACAGTTAAGCTTTAGTGTTGTTGTAGAAACTTTCCATGTATTTGCTTTAGATTGTAATCTGTATTTTTCTGTTGATAATTTGTGTTTCATTTGTTGAAAATATGATTATTATACTTTCTATAGATGTTTTAAATTTTTAATTTGATATAGTAATATTTGTTTGTTTGCTTTTTTTTGGTCACGTTTTATCAGTAAATAATTTTTTTTGACGAAAAATGTAAATAAATTTTGTTTATTTATTTTGGTTTTTTCTTATTGTTTTTAATAAACAATTAACCCATTGGGAGCTTAGGCTATGTCCGTCAGTCTGTCTGTTAAAATACATTTTATGAAAACTCCAGATATTTTTGATATCCACATCTCCTATATTTCATATAAATCCGATAAACTTTCAAAAAGTTAGCTTTTTAAAATCAGGAAAATTGTTTTTTTTGAAAATAGTTAAAATCAGCAATTTATTTCGTATAGCCCCCATTCAACTGTACCGCCCGTATAGGGCTTTTGAGCTCATAAATATGTTAAATATTCTTGTGTCACTTCAAAAATAGGCAAAACTTAGTTTTATATAAGTCTTAATGATGTAGACGTAAAACCTTCTACCAAAATCTATAAAGATAGGACCATATTAACCTCCTGCCCCCATATAACCCCTCTTTAACAAAATCCCTTCTATGTCAAGAAATTATTAAAATATTTCTGAATTAAGGTATAAATAAAATTAAATACATTATTATTAAACAAGTAAGAAATTATAGTCGGGCGAGGCCGACCATATAATACCCTGCACCTGTTACAAAAGTAACAAGTAAGAAATTATAGTCGGGCGGGGCCGACCATATGATACCCTACACCAGTTATGAATATTAAATGTGATTTATTTTTCATAATAAAGCATTTATCTTCAATATTCCCTTGTTCGGATACATTTAAGCAATTCATGGATGAAAAACTAATTTTCTGAAAGAGGCTTTATATGGGGGCTAGGGGCAAATATGGACCAAGCCCGATAAAATTTTGTGAATATATTTATATTGACATAATATTTTATTGTGCTGAATTTCATCGCGATATTTGTGTTTATAAGCTAATTCGGCTAATTTGTATGGGAGCTAGGGTCAAATGTGGCCCGATCTTTATGAAATTTGGCAGGGTCATCAAGACTTCTATAAAACTTAGTTGTGCCGTATTTTACCGATATATCTGTATATTTAACATAATTATGAGCTCAGAAGCCCTTTTCGGGGGGTTCTGTTCTATGGGGGCTAGGTGAAATAATGGACCGATTTTAACCATTTTCAATAGGCTTCGTCCTTAGGTCAAATAAAACGTGCGTGCCAAATTTCATCCAATTATCTTGAAAATTGCGACCTGTACCTTGCGCACAAGGTTTACATGGACAGCCAGCCAGCCAGCCAGCCAGACGGACTGACGGACGGACGGACATAGCTTAATCGACTCAAAAAACGATTCTAAGCCGATTGGTATACTTTAAGGTGGGTCTAGGACGAATATTTTTGTATGTTACAAACATCAGCACAAATCCAATATACCCTCCCCACTAAAGTGGTGTAGGGTATAAAATGTGATTTAGTTTTCATAATGAAGCATTTAAGTTGAATTGTACCTTGTCTCAGATATACATACTTAAGCCATTTATTGTGGAATAAAATTGTGGATATTTAAGTCAAATTTTGAAGGGGGCTTTTGTAGGGGCTAGGGTCAAATGAGGACCTATAACTCTAAAATTCATGAGGGTTATTAAGGCTAGTATTGAACTTGGTTTTACATCTTTTTGACGAGATAGGAGTATATTAAACATAATTAAGAACTTAAAAGGCCTATTCGGCGGGTTCAGTTGTGTGGGAGCTAGGTGAAATAATAGACCGATGTTAACCATTTTCAACAGGCTTCGTTTTCGGTACCATAGACGATCATGTACCAAATTTCATTGGATTATCTCCAAAATTGCGACCTGTAGTTTGATTACAAGGTTTACAAGCCCTATTCGGGGGTTCAGTTGTATGGGGGCTAGGTGAAATAATGGACCTATCTTAACCATTTTCAATAGGCTTGTTTTATGTTTATTATACCAGCAAAAACATGATAATTATTTGGACCTACTCACGAAATTACTTTTAAATTAGTACTACTCACCTACTGCATTACTTAGAAAGAGTTTAGTAATGACTTACAAATAACTATATATATAACTAACTAGTTTTTAGCATTGACATTTTATTTTCGAACGTTGCTTTTTCAATGCAAGTTTTTGCTGTATTAATATCCGAGTCAAATTGAACATTAACTTGTTCTATATACAGTGACTGGTTCTATGAGGATCGGTCCCTATTTGAATTAAGGCCAAAAACCTCAGTCAGAACACTTTTTAATGAAGAATTAATACATAGGTCTAAGGATAATATCTCAAGAAAAAATAATTTTTTGATCTTATTCTTTAAAGTGCGGTCCATTGCTGTATTAAGGCCTTATAGAGGTAATTCTTCCGATTTCTCCGATTCGAAATTTTTTTAAAAATCTTAAAATTTTTCTTAAATATAATTAAAAGGAGATTTCTTAACCTTTAAAAATTATATTAAATTTTGTCTCTTAATGGGTTAACAAAGTTAAACTCATACATTGAGTACAAAAACCAAACAGTCTGTTTTAGTGAAAAAGGTCATAATCTATGATGGCAAACAGAAGCAACGAGAAAAGATTGGAGGCAAGACTGATTTTTTTTATAAGATTTCTTATCTTAATTTGTGTTGTTTATACATATTTGCTATTAAGTGCAAAATTATTTTGTTTTGTTTTTATACCCACCATCAAAAAAGATGGGGGGTATATTGATTTTGTCATTCCGTTTGTAACACATCGAAATATTGGTCATAGACCCACAAAAGTATATATATTCTGGGTCCTCATTAAATTCTAAGACGATCTAGCCATGTCTGTCCGTCCGTCTGTCTGTCTGTCTGTTGAAAGCACGATAGAGTCCCAATGGAAAGAGCTAGAGGGTTGAAATTTCAAATAAATATTTCTTATAGGTAAGGTTTGTTTGGTATTGAAAATGGGCAATATCGGTCCACGTTTTCGGGTAGCCCCCATACAAGTGGCCCCTCGAAAAGCAGCTTTAACAGCCATAACTTGTTTAAAAATACGAATATAGCGATGAAATTCGACATAAGTAAGTTTCATACAAGTCAAAATCTATCTAAAAAATTTTATGAGGATCGGTCCATGATTGACCCTACCCCCCATATAAGGTCCCCTTCAGAAAATGACTGCAACGCTCATTAATGGCTTAAAAATACGAGTGTAGCGATGAAATTCGACACAAATAAATTTAATACGAACCAAATTTTATGAGGATCGACCCATAATTGACTCTACCCCCCTATATATGGTCCCCTTCAGAAAATTACTTTAACGCTTATAACTGGCCTAAAAAATACGAGTATATAGATGAAATTCGACATAAGTAAGTTTCATTCGAGTCAAACGAGGTTTGATGGTGGGTATATAAGATTCGGCATGGCCGAATATAACACTCTTACTTGTTTTTTTTTAAGTGTTAAACTATTAATCAGCAATAAACCAATCATAAATTAAACAAATTATTTAGCAGTCATAAAGGTGAAGTACTAATTATGATAAGACTTTAAAGTACTTTACTGGGATTGTATGTTTCTTTCAAATATTCTAAATAATAATATTAATTAAAAACGGTTGTCAAGAGTTAAACTGCTTAAAAAAATGTAATTATTTATTATATTGTACTAGTAAAGCAATCAGAGTTAATTTTCTATAAATTCAAATTCTTAAATTTAATGATAATGAATTTAATGAAAAATGCATCAGACAATTGTGGTTGTCTGCTGCTCTCATGTCAAAATGTTCAACATACGCGTGTCTTGCAAATGTTTTCCTTTTGTTGCAGTTGCTGCTGCAATTAAAAGTAACGACATTATGCGTATCATTGAGATGCATTTTATACTTTTTGTAGAATTTTACGTTCTGATGTTTTTTCCATCCTTTTTTATTTGAAGTCGGTTATAAAGTGGTCACTCTTTAGAAAAGCAACGAATGTTAATGAAAATTACAATGTATAAGGACTCTATAGGCATGACTTTATTCACAACTACTAACAGACAAAAAGGCTAAAATTGAAATTAAAAACTGAAAATTAAAAAAAAACACACAACAAACGAATTTTGTATAGAAAATACAATAATGTTGTGTTCTGTGTGTCTGAGTGAGTAAATCTGAGCTTTTTCTTTTTGTAACATGAGTACAAGTACTTTAAATATACACCACACCACCGACCAAAAGTACTTACACATCAAAAACGAAATAACAGAAAAAAGCGAATAATATAAAAACACAAGTAAAGCTACTGCAACAACAACAAGAACGAACTACAAGTGCAACGCATCATATGGCACTTTACGCACCTTTTCATCAGTATCAGTTGGTGGTAAGTATGGAGGGTCATTTGATGCTGTTACTGTTTCCGGGGATAATGCATTTATCCCACAACTAAATAAGCTTTAAAATTGTATGTAAATACTTGCAGCAAAAACGACAACAACAACAATCATATTAAACACATACAATTACAAATGAAAATGTAGAAGACACAGGGATAAAAAAAGTACATAATAGTAAATGCAATGAGTATAAAAAGCAATTGAAGTCATACTGGACCGGACATTATCGTTTAATATGTAAATGTACGGAACAGGTGGTGCTCTAAAAGCATAGTTTTTGGTTTTCTACTGATGACAGCTAATTTGTATTAGGCCTGTGGTTTAAACATTTTTCTTGAAAATACTGTAGGAGTAATAGAAATGTACAAAAATGTAATAAAGGCGGTGGCGGCGACGTTTAACGTCATTGGGATCGATTATAATTAAATATGAAATTATTGGATTTTTGGGTACGCAATAGTTAGTGATTTAGTTAGTCAGTTAGTTAGTTAGTTAGTAGTTAGTTAGTTAGTTAGTTAGTTAGTTAGTTAGTTAGTTAGTTAGTTAGTTAGTTAGTTAGTTAGTTAGTTAGTTAGTTAGTTAGTTAGTTAGTTAGTTAGTTAGTTAGTTAGTTAGTTAGTTAGTTAGTTAGTTAGTTAGTTAGTTAGTTAGTTAGTTAGTTAGTTAGTTAGTTAGTTAGTTAGTTAGTTAGTTAGTTAGTTAGTTAGTTAGTTAGTTAGTTAGTTAGTTAGTTAGTTAGTTAGTTAGTTAGTTAGTTAGTTAGTTAGTTAGTTAGTTAGTTAGTTAGTTAGTTAGTTAGTAGTTAGTTAGTTAGTTAGTTAGTTAGTTAGTTAGTTAGTTAGTTAGTTAGTTAGTAGTTAGTTAGTTAGTTAGTTAGTTAGTTAGTTAGTTAGTTAGTTAGTTAGTTAGTTAGTTAGTTAGTTAGTAGTTAGTTAGTTAGTTAGTTAGTTAGTTAGTTAGTTAGTTAGTTAGTTAGTTAGTTAGTTAGTTAGTTAGTTAGTTAGTTAGTTAGTTAGTTAGTTAGTTAGTTAGTTAGTTAGTTAGTTAGTTAGTTAGTTAGTTAGTTAGTAGTTAGTTAGTTAGTTAGTTAGTTAGTTAGTTAGTTAGTTAGTTAGTTAGTTAGTTAGTTAGTTAGTTAGTTAGTTAGTTAGTTAGTTAGTTAGTTAGTTAGTTAGTTAGTTAGTTAGTTAGTTAGTTAGTAGTTAGTTAGTTAGTTAGTTAGTTAGTTAGTTAGTTAGTTAGTTAGTTAGTTAGTTAGTTAGTTAGTTAGTTAGTTAGTTAGTTAGTTAGTTAGTTAGTTAGTTAGTTAGTTAGTAGTTAGTTAGTTAGTTAGTTAGTTAGTTAGTTAGTTAGTTAGTTAGTTAGTTAGTTAGTTAGTTAGTTAGTTAGTTAGTTAGTAGTTAGTTTGTTTGTTAGTTAGTTAAGTCGGCCGGTCAGTCGGTTCGTATTGCATTATAGGAGTACATACTGTTTCAGTAGATGTTTGGTTGATGGGTTTTACAATTGGATTTCCTCACGCAAGAAATAAAGAATAAGAGAATTCACATCAAAAATACCATTCGACTCTATATACGCACACTAAAGGACGGCACAAAGATATAACCCGGTAGGTTTACGTGCAATAGTTTCAACTTTTGCTGTTCACATTTCAGTTATCTTTGTTGAGGTTTAAAGGCTATATTCAAAATTTGTATAACTTAAATTTTTAACCATATTGGTACCTTCTGGGACACATTTGTCTACAAATAACTTCGAAAATATTGAGATAAAATTTAAGTGTCATTTCTTATCCCATTAAACAACAGTAATGTCACCTTTTCTACACTCAAAGAATAGTTTATAATAAGCTCAAATACTACCGGAACTGTCAGATAGCCAGCATCTCTTTATATCTACCACCTCAACCACAACAGCAGCAATGAACAAAAAATCCTGTATATTTGCATTGACTAAACCTTTGAAATGATTGTTGGACTGTGTTTACAAATGTAAAAGAATAAATGTAAGTAAGTAGATGGCAAAATACTGACTGACTGACTGCATGAATGTCTGACTGTGACTAAGGGACTGACTGACACACGGTATTTATTTAGTAGATAGGTTGAATTTCATAGTAACGTCTACAATTTGTAGGCAAAAATGCACAAATACAAACACAAGCATATTACACATACGTACAGATGTCTAAACATACACATGTAAGCAATATTTTGTTCAAATATGCGTTTACATGGTCATTTGGTCACTTTCGAAAGCGGTAGGTATTTGCATAAGCGTAAAGTAAATGTCGGCTGGTATTTTCTATTGTACTACTACTCCATTGGATGTTTGTTTGTATGTATGTATGTGTTTCATTCAATGCTCGTGCTCAAATATATGTGCACATACATACATTTTTGTTGGGCGCATATATTTGCATGTTTGTGTGTGTATGCGTATTTTATGCATGCATATTTGCATTCATGCAACAAAACAAACCAAAGAAAGCAAAAAAAAAATGGTTAAAAAATCTACAATATACAATCATGCATGCATAGTAAAACAAACATACAGGTATTATTATACTAACAGACATACATAAATACATATCTTTACATTTACATACACATACTAACAACATTCAAAATGTACATTTTCAATGTTCACACTAAGGACAGTGGAAAATGGTACTATTTTGGATATATTATTCTAAAAGGAAATTTTGGAACTATTATACAATTAAAAAGCTGAAATATTTGGTGTGATAACGCAAAGTTGAAAAATTTACTTTTATCTTGTTTTTTATGGTGTAGAAGACCAAGAAAGAATAGAACGTCATACCGATTAAAAAAATGGTTCTGAGTATGGAACACATAGTCAAGGATATTAGTCGAAAGTGTACCAAACAAGTACTTTTATACTAGTGCTGTAATATTCTACTACTTTTGATTACTCAATACTACTCAATACTTTTCGTTTGGGTACTCAATACTACTCGATACTTTTAACGGTTTTATTTTAAATTAAAAACGAGGAATTTTTCCTTTTTTTAAGTAAAGTTAGACCAGACATCACACCTCTTTTGAGACATTTTATTTTTGTAGATAGCGTCGATAAATATTTGTAACTTTTTAACTATTATTGCAGTGTTTAAATTATTTTTACATTGATTTGATATTGCTAAGAGTTGCATTTCTAATAATGATATGGTCTATATTAGATTTTAGAGCTGTATTTTTTCACATCATAGCCGTTAAATTTAAATAAGTTAAATCCATATACAAGTCTGAAAGTATTGAGTAACTACTTTTTAGTATTGAGTACCCAAAAAATAGGGCAAATACTCGATACTCGATACCCACTACTCAATACTTTAACAGCACTATTTTATACCCCATGTTGGTACCATTTTAAAATTTTTTATTTTGCATCCTTGCACCCATACATGAAAACAAAGATTTTTGCAAACATTTAAAGTGTTTGTTTTAATGTGTTTTTATTTGTATGTATGCGTGTGTGTTTATGTGTCTACATGTATGTAGGTGTGTACATATGCGTTTATATTTGTTTGACATGCATAAATGCATGCGTATGTTTTTGTGTGTATTTGGCTGGTTGAGTCAATGCAAGGAAGTCGAAATAAAACGAGTTGCAAAACTTTAGTTCAGTTCTTTATCCTTTTTATTGTAGAATTCTTTTTTTTTTTTTTGTATTTGATATTAAAACAACTGTATGTAAATACATATGTTGATGGAATCATGCCCGCTCTAATACACTCACGCATATAAAAATATATTTACATATAGGTTTCTCTATGTGTTGCTGTTGTGTCCACTTTTATATACAAATATTTACATATTTGTTTGTTTGTTTTTTTTTCTCTACCGCTAAAGGGGGGTTGCTGGCCTTTAAGTTAAAAAAAAAAAAAACAAAAAGTCTGAAATACAAAAATCGTAAAAATTTACGCTTGTAAGGATTGTGAAGTGTGGTGTGTGATGATTTTTAATTAAAATTAATTAAAATGAGAAAACAAAACAAATTCTGTTTTTAAAAGAGTGTGTTGTCTGTGTTCTTTGTTCCATACATTTGTCCATGTGACAAATGCAACATGTCCTTTAAACAAACTGATGCGTTTAAGATAACATCAATTGTGAAAAAGATAAAGGAGTAGAAGGGTTTTAAACTAGCAGACTTAATAATGGTTGAGAAACAAATTTAAAGCTTTTTCGAATTTACCAACATTTATTTAAATCTATATGTATATGAACCACCCTTTAATGTTATAGTTTTAAAAATTCCTTTTTCAATAATAACATTATTTAAGGTTTTGTTTGAAAATTAAAAAAAAAAAATATATATTTTCATTTATTTGTCAAACAAAAATTATATTTTATTAGAATTTTTTTCAGATTACTGAATAATTGTAAATAAAATTAAACCAATAAATAATTATTCATTTTAATGTTCCAGCAAAAACCCTCGTAAGTCCTTATTTTTAAATGTACTTCTGTTCTTAATTATTAAATTTCAATTTAAGATCCCAAAGAAAAGCAGCAAGTCGTTTTATCAACGATAACAATGAGACTAATCTCATACAGTTGAGTCCTCATAGGGAATTGGAAAAACGCAGCCCTTTTACCTTAAGCGATAATGAGGATTCGAAAACCAATTTCATAGGAGATACGTAAGTAGTATGTTGTCTAAAAAATGCTTAAATTAATTGCTCTTTTAAGCATTCTAGCTCCTGAAAGACCTCGTGCCTATGTGGTAACAAAGACTGGTGAAAAACATTTATTAGATTTGGATAATAATGCTCTTCCCAAAACCAGATCAAATCCTTTTACTTTACATAGTCCCAGATTGTCGGCACCTACTATGGAAACTATATCAGAGAAATCATCTTCACATTTATCACATTCGGATAAAATGATTAGGAGCAGCAGTAAATTAATCAAGAAGCTTAAGGTTTAAATATTTAATTAAATATTCTTTAACTAAAAATCTCTCTTTAATTTCTAGCCCTTAAAACGCCAAAAACATCGTTTAGTTTTTACTCCCAGAAATATGGAAACAACCTCTTCAACACAACTATTAGCAGCAGATAATAATGTTAACAAGAACATTCTAAATCAAAAACAGTCTATGCCTGTGGCAAAATCATGGGCAAACACTAGTATAGAAACTCAAACGGAAAATTTTCCTTACATAGGGCCTCATTCCTATATACCCAGACATTTTAGTACAGCAACTGGTTCCATCAATTATATACCCATGGAAGGACCTAAAAAGTATTTAAATGAATCTGTTAACACACAGCGAAGATTTTACTCCATGGCCACTGCCCAACCGCCATTCAAACCTTTGGAGATTTACACAAAATATAATCCCAACTTACGAAAGTATTCTGGTAGATGTACCAAATATTTTAAGGTTTTTAGAGTTACTATATTTTCTTTTTTGATTTTTCAGAGTTACGCAACATTGCCTCGGCTGTTACCTTCATAACAGTAGTCTCTTGGCTATTTTCTAAAATTTTTGATATTGAATGCTTTTGGGATTATTTAAATAGTTTGTGGCAACATCTGTGTAATTGGTTTTCAACTAAAGAGAAACCAAAAACAAAGTTAGAAGTATTGGTAACATTTTTCCAAGACTTGTGGTCTTAAAAATGTAATTGAAACTTTTTTTTTATAATAAATAGTTGTTTCCAATATGGAGTTTAAAGGATGTAAATATTATTGTAATCATTTGTAATGAAATAAAAAATTTTCTTAAAAGCGTTTGAACTGTAAAAAATCTTTTATTTTTGACATGAGCCTAGCAGAGAAACAGGGATCAATTACGAACTGAGAAGACGTAATAGGGAACTAACTACTAACTAACTAACTAACCTAACTAACTAACTAACTAACTAACTAACTAACTAACTAACTAACTAACTAACTAACTAACTAACTACTAACTACTACTAACTAACTAACTAACTAACTAACTAACTAACTAACTAACTAACTAACTAACTAACTAACTACCTAACTAACTAACTAACTACTAACTAACTAACTAACTAACTAACTAACTAACTAACTAACTAACTAACTACTAACTACCTAACTAACTACTAACTAACTAACTAACTAACTAACTAACTAACTAACTAACTACTACTAACTAACTAACTAACTAACTACTAACTAACTAACTAACTAACTAACTAACTAACTAACTAACTAACTAACTAACTAACTAACTACTAACTAACTAACTAACTAACTAACTAACTAACTACTAACTAACTAACTAACTAACTAACTAACTAACTAACTAACTAACTACTAACACTAACTACTAACTACTAACTAACTAACTACTACTAACTAACTAACTAACTAACTACTAACTACTACTAACTAACTAACTACTAACGAACTAACTACTAACTAACTAACTAACTACTAACTAACTAACTACTAACTAACTAACTAACTAACTAACTAACTAACTAACTAACTAACTAACTAACTAACTACTAACTAACTAACTACTACCTACTACTAACTAACTAACTAACTAACTAACTAACTACTAACTAACTAACTACTAACTAACTACTAACTAACTAACTAACTAACTAACTAACTAACTAACTAACTAACTAACTAACTAACTACTACTAACTACTAACTAACTACTAACTAACTAACTAACTAACTACTAACTACTACTAACTAACTAACTAACTAACTAACTAACTACTAACTAACTACTAACTACTACTAACTAACTAACTAACTAACTAACTACTAACTAACTAACTACTAACTAACTACTAACTAACTAACTAACTAACTAACTAACTAACTAACTAACTAACTAACTACTAACTAACTAACTACTAACTAACTAACTTAACTAACTAACTACTAACTAACTAACTAACTACTAACTAACTAACTAACTAACTAACTAACTAACTAACTAACTAACTACTAACTAACTACTAACTAACTAACTAACTAACTACTAACTAACTAACTAACTTAACTACTAACTAACTACTAACTACTAACTAACTAACTAACTAACTAACTAACTAACTAACTAACTAACTAACTAACTAACTAACTAACTAACTAACTAACTAACTAACTAACTAACTAACTAACTAACTAACTAACTAACTAACTAACTAACTAACTAACTAACTAACTAACTACTAACTAACTAACTAACTACTAACTAACTAACTAACTAACTACTACTAACTAACTAACTAACTAACTAACTAACTAACTAACTAACTAACTAACTAACTACTAACTAACTAACTAACTAACTAACTACTAACTAACTAACTAACTAACTAACTAACTAACTAACTAACTAACTAACTAACTAACTAACTAACTAACTAACTAACTAACTACTAACTAACTAACTAACTACTAACTAACTAACTAACTAACTAACTAACTAACTACTAACTAACTACTAACTAACTAACTAACTAACTAACTAACTAACTAACTAACTAACTAACTAACTAACTAACTAACTACTAACTAACTAACTAACTAACTAACTAACTAAACTAACGAACTAACTAACTAAACTAACTAACTAACTAACTAACTAACTAACTAACTAACTAACTAACTAACTAACTAACTAACTAACTAACTAACTAACTAACTAACTAACTAACTAGCTAACTAACTACTAACTAACTAACTAACTAACTAACTAACTAACTAACTAACTAACTAACTAACTAACTAACTAACTACTAACTGTGTCCCCATGTAAGGCTTGTGCGCTCGCTACAGGTCGTAATTTTCAATATATTTTTATCCCTTTCAGGGTCAAAAATAATTTATGTCTAGAAAAAAACTTGAAAACTTATATTTAAGATAATTTGAGTATGCTGAATCCGGGAAAAATAATATTTTTTGAATTTGAGTTTTCCCTACTGAGTTATAGAAGGTCAAAGTTAAATGTCGAATATATTGGACATTCGAAAAACAGTCTTCAAAAAGTACCACCAATATTTTTTATGATTTTTTTTTTTTGTAAAATGTCTTCTTAAACTTCTTTCAATACAATACAATTTAAATCTGCATAGTGCGATCTCCTAAAATACAATTTTTTTGGCCATTAAATGAAGCTGTTTTTTAAACGCTGTTTAAAAGCACTTTTTAAAAAGTCGTCATAAGTGACAATTTCTTAAAATCTGATTTTTAAATACTTTTAAAATACGGAAAATCTTTCAAAATCTGAATTATAAATATAATAAAGTCTTCATTTTCATCTAAAAGAAAAAAATTAAAACTAAAGTTAAATATTATACCCAAAAAATGCTTAAAAACAGAGTCTATTGTAATGTCGAATATATTCGACAAAACCACGGAAAGGGTTATGACATTTGGTACATGTTCATCTTTTAACCCAAGTTGAATTCGGTCCATTGTTTAGCCTAGCCCCCACACAACCGAACCCCCCAATAGGGCTTTTGAGCCTATAAGTTATTTTTTATTCTAATTTTTCACTAAAAATTAAATAGTTTAAGGCCCACAATCTCATTCTCCGGTTATCATTTAACCGGTGGATATTCTGCCGGTTAAAATAGTTTTTGTATGAAAACTGTCAAAATATCGTTTCGATAAAAATAACAAGACATTGATAAAATGGGGGTAAGTGTTTAAAATCGGAAACAAGATCTGGTTTTCAAAGCTGTGTTGAGCTGAGAATCCCTTTATTATTCCCTTAATAACAACGATAACTAGATTAATACTTTCAAAAATATACAAGCCATACATTTGTATTCCATATACATTTTTTCCTAATCTTGATTTTTATCTTTATCTTTTCAGACTCATCTACAATACATCACAAAAAAGGTAAGTGCTAACAAAAAAATCACAAATAAAACATGACCCTTTATATGTCTCTCACTCAACATGTTTCCGTGTTGTTTATTCTTGAAATTTTTGTTAAATAAAATAAATAAAAAAAAAAAAAAAAACAAAAGTTCTGCATGCATAAATAATTTCTGTTGTAGTCTGTAGTCTCAACCACACAAATATGCAAATATCAGCAAAAACCAACAAACGAATGTAGCAACATATGTTGCGACATATACATGTTGTGACACACTTGCCCCCCACCTTCACTCACCCTATACACTGTTTAGTTACGGGTCTAAACAGAACCCGAAAAAAAGTGGACAGGCGGAGTTTACACTGTCAATTTTCTCTAGAGAATTGTACGGCAACAAAAACAAAAGTGTAGAAAAATCCATAAAATAAAAGGACTAATAATTTAAAAGGATACAAACAAGAAACATTAATTTAACAAGTGGGTGGGGATGTACAGAAATGTAGATTTTTATCTGAAAGTTAAAAAAAAAAAAACACAAATACAAGTTTTTTTGTCACTGAGTGTCTATTTGTTGTATTTTGTTATTTTTTTGTTACGATTAAAATTCGATTAGGTTAGAATGAAAAAATATGCATTAAAGAAAAATTAAAAAAAAAATTGCATATGTATTGTGGGTTTAGATGGAGTTTTAAGTGGCATTGAGATATAAAAAGTTCTTAAAGTTAAGTAATTTAAAAATTTTCAAAATTTGCCTCCTTTAGCAACTTAGGATCCTTCCACTTTTTTTTGTTTATTGGTATTGTTATGCAAGGTCATACCGTTATTTATAACAAAAATGCCAAATCATTTTCTTTGTATCCTAAGCTATTTGAAAATTTCTTGATTTTGTGCCAAATTTCAGTGCTTAGAAATTTGCTAGGCCTATTAGTAATTTTTACCTCTTATTAAGCAAAATTTTCAACATTGTCATGCCATGTATTTGACAATTAGCTTTTTGTCTTTAGTTTAATTTTTGTAACAAATAATTTCTTGTAAAAATTTGTACAATGTCGGTCAGGTAAAGGTTTTTATTGTCTCAATCAATTGAACAAAAAAAAAAAAAAAAAAATACAATTTGTTTTCCGATGTTTATGTCACAAGGAGGTAAATGTCAAAAGTCTATTATGGTTATAATACGCCCATTCTGAGTGTAGTTATACGACTAGCAGTATGTACACCGTTTTCCGAAGCTTTCCAGAAATTGCAATCTTGTAATCAAACAAGTTAGCGTGATATATTTTACTGTGCCGTATATTATATACCTTTCTAGATTTTTAGAGTCTGAAAATTATATTGCAAAATTTTTGAACTAAATTACAATATTTTTTATTCAGTCCTAACGAAGTTGAAAAGTAGAGGAAGATTGGATTATACTGATTTTGTCATTTGCTGGCAAACCCTGGGTCGTAGGTCCTTCTTAGATTCTATGACCATCTAGCCATATCTATCTTTCTTTTGATCTTCGACCCCACAAAATATATGTGTTCTGTGTCCCTATTAGATTCTAGGTCGTTCTAGTCGCATCCAGCTGTATGTCCGTCTTTCCGTTCATATGTCCGTCCGTCTGTCTGTCTGTCCGTTTGTCTGCCTATCGGCAGGCATGGGAATAATGATTACACAAAGTAATCCATTACATGGTAAATTACAATTACTTATAATGTGTAACTGAGCAGTAACAAATTACAAATACTTACAATTTAAGTTTTTCCAATTACAATTAGTTATAATGTGTAATTGACCAATAACCAACTAAAATTACTTGTCATTGTAATTGAAGTTTTGCCAATTACAATTACTTGTAAATGTAATTGAAGTTTCCAATTAAAATTACTTCTAATTGTAATTAAGGTATTACCAATTA